GGCAGTGCCTCTTTCAGAGAGCTCATCTCAAGAAGGTTAAGTCACTCCAGCATTTTTAGTGCAGTGGAGTGGAGCACTGACAGAAAACAAGCACCTTCCCTGGAGCCTAGCCTGTACCTTAGCTGGTAGGTTGTGAGGTGGACTCCCCACAGTGACTGTTAAACTGTATCCTGAAGCCTGGGGTGATCCTGATGGCTGTCAATTGGCCTCCTCCAGCTGGCTCCTGATGCTATGGGGAATGTGTGGGGGGGGTAGGCGGGGGGGGGCTACCTTGAAAGGGTTCTAGGATAAAAGCTCCTATGTTCCCTGTGGCTCACTGGAGGCCTCTGAAGGCCAAGCCTAGATTAATGAGCACTGCACTCCTACAGCTCCTGGCAGTGGAATCCCCAAGCCTTTCTCCCCATCCTCAATGCTCTTTGAAGATATTCTGTTAATGGCAAAGATATAACAAATGCCCCAAGATTTAGGATCCTGGGGCCTAAGGATAATAGGAGACCCAGTCTGTGTTTCAGTGGGGCCTTGAATTCCTTCTTGCATGGAGGGAACATTCTGAGTCCAAAAGAATTCCCGAGATCATTTAGAAACAATCCCTTTCATTGCTCATTTATGAGGAATTAAAAGACTAAGCTCTGGGACACCTGCCATCTCTTGAACCCCTAGAGAATGCCGCTGTTGGTACAGATGTGGCTTCATCCCAAACTTGCAACAGATCCTGACTCCACCATTGTGTACCTCAATGACTGCTCGTCTCAATTTTCACTATAAAGGGAACAGAATTACTCATGCCACATCCTAAGCCTACTACTCAGATTAAATGAAAATAGAGACTAGCTGCCCCTCTCCCACCCCCCAGTGATAGTTAACACTGTCCACTTGACAAGATTGAGAATCACCTAGGAGACAAACATCTGGGAATGTCTGAGAGGGGGTTTTTAGATTGGGTTAATTGAGGTAGGGTAGCATCACTCCATGGGATGGGGTCCCAGACTGGATAAAAGGGAGAAAGTAGTCTGAGCACCAGCATCCATCACTCCAAGTCCCTAACCATGCCTTCCCCACCATGATGGACTGTATTCAGAACTGTAAGCTAAAACAAACCCTCCCTGCCTCCCTCCCTTCCTCCCTTCCTCCCTTCTTCCCTTCCTCCCTCCCTCCCTTCCTTGCTTCCTTCTTTCTGATGCTTGTGCCAGGTATTTGGTCACAGCAATGAGAGAAATAACTAATACATCCCCCATCTTATAGAATGCATTTTCCAGATCCCTAGTGGATGTCTGAAACTGTGCACAGAACCAAACCCTATACATGGCATGTTGCTTTTCATTGTACAGACATATGATAAAATTTA